ACCGCTCGGGTAGTTCAGCCTACCCTGGCTCAGTGGGTGCGGCTGGACGGACCCCCACCCTGGGTCTTAAAACATGAGGGGAGGTGGGGGAGGCCCCTGTGCTCTCCCCACCGACCTGCTGGCGACGGCAGGTGAGGAGCGGTGGAGGCACTCCCCGGCGCTGCGGTAAGGTACCTCCGTGATGGCTTCCGTGGAAACACGTCCGGTCGTGGCGGTTCATAGTAATTTAGACCTTCTGTCCCCAGGCTGAAGTCGACTCCCCGGCCCAAGTTCTCTGTGTGTCTCCTGGGGGACCAGCAGCACTGCGATGAGGCCAAAGCAGTTGACATCCCTCATATGGACATAGAGGCTCTGAAGAAACTCAACAAAAACAAGAAGTTGGTGAAGAAGCTGGGTGAGTGGTGGTGGGGACTGGGCCCTGAGGACCCTGGCTAACTTGGGAGGGCTGGGTAAGCAGGATGGTTTTCTCTGTGCTCAGATTTCCATGTCATGGTTAACTGCAGGGAATAGAAAGGTGACCAGAGTCACCCCGAAGTGCAGAAATCTGTCTGGAAACTACCCAGAAGAGCCAGACTGTTCCCAGTGTAGAAGGTTTGACAGGTCAGCCGTCCCAGAGTGAGGTTATTGCTCTCTGGAAGGAAGGAAGGGAGACAGGAAAGTGTTCCTGTCTCTCTGAAAGTTTCACGCTTAGCTGGTGTTCTTCACTTTGCTGGTCAGGGAGCTGGAGTGCAGCAAAAGCAGAAAAAAAGGTGTAGGCAAAAGTTTGGTTTAGTCACACAGTACTTACATGAACGGAATGAAATCTCCTTATTTTCACTTGGTAATGAGAGAAAATCGCTCCCTCCCTGTAAAGTCAAAGATATTTGGATACGTATCATAGACAGACAAGAAAAACTTCCCACTCGAATTATCGTTAGCTGTGGAATTACGTGCAGTGATGTAGGATAGCACAGCTCTTCGCTGAGCCTCTCCGGGCTGTGTGATATATCCATCCGTTCATCCATCCACGTGCGCGCAGCCTGCGGGAGGAGGCTCCTGGTAGAGCTCAGGGGTCCAGCGTTGGTCACTTGTGGCTCAACAAATGCCAGTTTCTTTAGCGAAATGAACTGTGTACGCTTAGGAGTGTGCTGTTGGGGTGTGAAGCTGGCTTCTGGCGGGTTTGGCCGTTGTGACAGGAGTAATTTCTAATATTAAACCAGCTTATGTCCATGCGCGCAGCCTGCGGGAGGAGGCTCCTGGTAGAGCTCAGGGGTCCAGCGTTGGTCACTTGTGGCTCAACAAATGCCAGTTTCTTTAGCGAAATGAACTGTGTACGCTTAGGAGTGTGCTGTTGGGGTGTGAAGCTGGCTTCTGGCGGGTTTGGCCGTTGTGACAGGAGTAATTTCTAATATTAAACCAGCTTACGTCCGGCTAGGCAGGACTCTTGAGAACATCGAAATGTTTGCGTTGAAAAATGGAGCAGCGCAGTCTCAGCTGAGCTGTTCCAAGCTCAGTGCAGGAGCTGAGGGTCCATCCTTACCTATCTTGGTTCTCCCCTCACAGCTAAGAAGTATGATGCCTTCCTGGCTTCCGAGTCCCTGATCAAGCAGATTCCTCGAATCCTGGGTCCGGGTCTGAACAAAGCCGGCAAATTCCCTTCTCTCCTCACCCACAATGAGAACCTGGTGGCCAAGGTTGACGAGGTCAAGTCTACCATCAAATTCCAGATGAAGAAGGTAAAACAGGGCTTTTCCTCTCCAGGGCAGCCGCATACCTGAGGGTTCTTTGTGGCGGGTGGTCACTGGTGTGTGGCTGCGATCTCTGGTCTGGGCTGTAGGTGTCCCTCGAGCATCTTCCTAAACCAGCGTCCGGTGACAAATCTCTGCAGCGAAGGCAGACAGTACCCGGGGTGTTAGCTGCTGGCTGGAAAGGCGCAGTAATTTATCGGCGGTTGAAAGATCTGAGAGCACATGATTAGGAGATGATCTTGATGTTTCAGTGCTGAGCATCATCAGTCATAATTAACGCTTCTTACAGTAAGTGGGTGCCACTTGCAGGGTGGGGCCGGCGGGCCAGGCATGTCCCCGTGGGCCTGTGCACGCAGCGGTGCTGTGCCAGAGGCGGGTTTGGGACTTGACTCTGCAAGTGAACTTTGGAGCAGCTCTGCAGATAATCTGCTCTTGCAGTCAAGAGATGGCAAGGCGAGCTGGCTCCCTAAAATCAAAATAGCCCTGTTTGGGAATTTAAATCTTGTGTCAGCCGTCCCAGCGTGACTCATGGGTATTATTCCAAATTAACAGCTCTCTGCTAGCTGAGGTGCACCCTTGGCTCCAGCTGATGCGGGCCTGGGGGCACAACAACTGGGAGGACACAGCAAATGTGATAGTTTGCAAATGCTTGAGCATTTTAAGTAACTGAGCTAATGATGTCCTCACACTCCGCCTGTCAGCTCGCTTGTAAATCCTTTTGTCTTCAGCCCGTGGGGAACATTGACTTACAAGCTTCTCAGCGAGGCTGGCAGGCAGAGCCTTGGCGTCTCCGCATCTTCTGTGCGGAAAGAAAGGGCCGGTGGCTCGTGCCCAAAACAAAAAGTGAAGCTGGCGCCACGCTTAGCAGTGAAGTTTGGAGCTAACGGCCTGTATGGCAGGGCACATGCCAGCTGCCTAACGAGCAGGGGGTGGGAGCAGAGCTAAAGCAGAGGTCTGCCCTGCTCCAGCGCTGGCTCAGCACCGCTTGTTAGACATCCTTGCTCGTTTCCCCATCTCTAAGTCACTGTTGAGCTCTGGGGAAGCCAGACCCACTCAAGTTGTCATTCAGAGGCGGCATCCAGGTACCACCAGAGATGGTTGTGGGTGCCACGTGCCAAATATAAAGAGTTCTATGGAAGCACCCACAGATAAGTTGGAAAAATTGCCCAGCTGACAGAACAGGAGATGATTTGGTGGCCTGATGAGTTAGATCAGCACCAGCCTGTTCAGTCAGTCGCTTAGCTGTCACCTTTGATCCCCTGCCAAACCCACCTGTGTGTGTGACCTGGTGTCCTTGTTCCCCAGGTGCTCTGTCTGGCTGTGGCCGTTGGTCACGTGAAGATGACAGAAGACGAACTCGTCTACAACATCCACCTGGCCATCAACTTCCTGGTGTCCTTGCTGAAGAAGAACTGGCAGAACGTGCGCGCTTTGTACATCAAGAGCACCATGGGGAAGCCCCAGCGCCTCTACTGATGGGGCAGCAATAAATTTTTAGGACACCTACAGCTGTCTGATTGGTTTGTGTTCCTCCAAAACTTGTTGGGAAGGGTTTGGTGAAGAGCTGCTCGCTTCCTAGCAGCCAGAAAGGTCTCAGATGCTGCGGTGAGCTGATAGGGATGTGAATTCAAGTGGAATATCGACTGAAAACAGTTTTTGAGGGAAGGAGCCTCATTATTCTGCATTTGGAGCAGGGCAGGGAGAGGGAACAGCTCTGCTTGTGTCCACAACAAGAAAACTTGAGGTGGTTACCGCAGCTGAGGGCATGCAGTGCAGATAAAAGTGCTCAGCAGTGCTGCTGTACCCCCAAGACCCCCCAGTCCCTCCAAGGGGACCCTTACCTCATGCTGCTGTCCCCTGAAGCCATCCCACAGGCAGGGCTCTGTCCCATCCCACAGCCTCCCTGCTCTGGGGGGCACTGGGATTTATAGGTTTCTGCTGCCCCCACACAACCAGTGACTGGGGCCACAGGGTCCTGCCCAGCAGCAGCTCGTGAGGACTTGATGGGTGAGGACGGATGGGAGCTGCAGCTCAGCGAGGGGTTGGGGCCAAGGTGAAGTGTATTCTGTCCCCTCTGCTCCCCTCTGAGCTAGTCCCTGTCTCACTCCATGTTCTGGGCTAAAAATGAGATATATTGCGTCTAATTAATGTATATAAATAAATACATTGTGTAAGGACTGGCGAGCTTATGGAAGTTGGTAGGATTTAAGCTTCTGGGGGAAAGGAAAAAAACCACCCTATGCCCCTGAAAAGAGCTTGTCTTTGCATCCGAGGGAACAGAACAATGAAAATAGCTTTGGGTCCTGCTGTTAGAAACCTTTAAAATAAGCGTCGGAGCCAGTTTCTGAAAGATCAACACAACACCAAGAAATTCCATTTAATAATTAAAAAAAGACAATACAAAATGCAAACATTTCTTTTTTTACAAAGTTCAGATACATTTTTTTTTTCTTTTAATCAAGTGCAAATAACTTCATGAACTACATCTTTCTCATTACTTTTAAATCATTTTTGCTGGAGATGGTAAAGTCGTGGCCCGCTGCAAAAGGCAGATATAAATATTCCAACATGAAAAAAAAAAACCCAAAACCCAAAAAAACCACCACAACCCTTATTTGTGTTCACTGTGTCAAAACATTCAATACATCCCAGGTGGCTGATGAGGCAGTTTTCAGCCTTTCAAACCTTTTCTGGGCGGTGGTGAAGAGGGACTGAGTTCTGGGGTCCCTGGGGGATGTTTTCTGGGGGATTTATTTGAGATACTGGTGGAAGGAGGAGGAGGAGACCTCACCGGGTGTCTTTGGCCACTGCAGGAGGACATGCTGCCCAGCTCGCCCTTCCCAAACCACTTTAGGGGAGTGGAGGAGGTGGGTGCAGCCCAGGACACCCCGGGGCTCCGAGAGCCCCCGTCCCAGCAGGGTCAGAGCGACAGCAACTGAAATCACAAAAAACATTTTAAAAAATAATTAAAAACTCCCAAGTGGCTGCATCGCACCGGAGTCACCACAGCGGGGTTCGTCATTCCCAGCTTGTTTTTATTTTTCCTGTTGATTTTTTTTTTTCTCCTAAATATGAAAGACCCTTTCAGCGGTCACTGCCCCAGAGTAATAAATCCCCCCCCCTGCCCCAACTCCAAATCCCTACAACAG